AACATATCAAGAACCTGAACCTATAAATGAAAGTGAAAATGCATCTTGTGTGTATGACAATTCAAAAGCAGTGAGCCTCAAAGTTTCAAATGTTGATAGCCAGCAGGACCCTAGTATGTCCAGGATAGATTCAAAGATAACACGTGCATTAGAGAACAGAGAGCAGTTGCAGCCAGAGGATCATTCAGTTATACATACTCAAAATTTTCAGGCACAAGCCGTTCTTTACCCTCCTCCTGCCGCGCCACATTTCGAGTCTACATCGGAGCGAGAAATCCAACAGAATGAAACGGATAACTGTTTTCAAGTAAATACAACTATCACAGATTCTCTCAGAACATTGAGTGAATCGCCAAACTGTGGTGCTAATTCTGAAGTGGACATTGAGTCATCCATACTAGTGGCAGACTCTTGGATATCACCACACGAGTCTGCTCAGTACCTAGAACTCGAGCCTGCTTTTAAATCTCAGGGCTCCTTTGAACAGGAATCCTGCAAATCTGTGGCTCAGGAGGATGTCTTCATTCGGCAACCAACAGCCCAGAAAAGACCGGAGTTAAGTGAAGTAATGGATAATTTGGACAGTCTTGAAGAATGCAGAACTGTGGCTCAACCCACACACAGTTACTTGGAAGCATATGACAAGACTGCTTTAGAATCGGGAAATGTTTCTACAGATCCATTGCAAAATGTTGGCGAAGAAGAGCAGTCAATTGAAGATTTACATGTATATGTGGCATCCAGCAGTCACCAGCTACCAGAGACTGCCTCTGTATCATCATCTACCTCAGCGAAAACACCGTCGGCAGAGATACCACAGGCTGCCCAGGCTACGGAGATAGTTCACGAGGCCGAGAACTTTCCTCAGGAAGACAACTACCGAAATATCACCAGGGAAGAGCCATCAGATTATTACCAAGATTACACTGCTAAACCTAGTGAATCTGACGCATGTGAGAATGAAATCCTACCTGACTATTCAGCTCATCCCCTACCGTACCTGCATAAAAAGTTCCATCACGACCAGGAACGCAAATTCGCATTATCATCAGGGGGTGGGCAGAATGCCGATTTACGTCGTTATATCCACAACTTCCAGTCTCTTTTGGTTAGTAGGCTGAATGCTTCCTTCAGTACTGATGTCGTGCTCAAGACTGGAGGTGAAGATTTGGGTTCTGATGAAGAAGAAATGGATAACCAGGGTACTGAGAAAGTAGAGCCAGCAAAAACGCAAAGGTTGCAGCCAAGTGAACATGTGTGTGAAGTGTGCAAACTTGAATGTACAGATGAGGTGCAACTTAACATACATTATCGAACCCACGAACAAGGAGATCAGAAAAACTTCACGTGCCAGTTTTGTAAAAGTACCTTCTTCATGAAAAGTTCGAAGGACCGCCACGAGAGAAAACACAAAGGCAAGAAAATCTACAGGTGTTCTCAGTGCCAGCAAGTGTTCAACAAAGCCTACATATTAAATCGACATAGAAGAGAGGTTCATGCAGTCAAGAGACCCTTTAAGTGTGACGAATGCGACAAAGATTTCACCACCTCCCGAAACCTCCAGAACCACGTCGGAGTCCACCTGGCAGAAAAGCACCACAAATGCACCCACTGCGATCACACTTGCCACACAGCTAGTGGTCTCAGAACTCACATCATGGAAGTTCACATGGGCTCAAGAGGGCGAAGTTTCAGCTGCCAGGAGTGTGGGGAGAAGTTTGCCAAGCAGTATGGGCTGAAGAGACACATGGAGCGTAAACATGGGGATGGTAGAGTTCCCTGTAATATTTGTTCAAAATTATTTTCTTGCAAGGAGGACCTGATTAAGCACACCAAATCTCACGAGAACAAAAGCAAAGGAGATTTATCCTGTGGGTTCTGCAATCAAACCTTTACGTCTGCATGGTCCTTGCAACGACACACAAAGAAGCACCAGACCGAAAGTCACCAGTTTAAGTGCAGCAGATGCCCCAAATCCTTCACAAGAAAGGATTCACTCTTATCTCACGAAAAGCTTCACGCTCAGAAGAAAAATTACGTATGCAAATGTGGCAAAAGGTTTGTTAAAAAGAGTCAACTAACGGCACATGAAGACAAGCATAGCAATGTTCCAAAGTACTCGTGTGATATATGCAAGCACTCCTACAAATTCAAAGTTTCATTAAGAAATCATAGTTGCAAACCAAAACTTGCAACAGAGGATGCAGGGAACGGCGATCAGGTAGATGCTTGAGCAAGTTAATTTAAAGTGTGTTAGTTCTAAACAAAAACTTGAAATCCAATATAAGATCTAAAATAAACTAAACTACAGGCTCGGATTTTATTTCAAGTTTATATATTCAAAACAGATTATTATATACTTCGAATCCAATGTGTACTCACTACCAAGAAGTTACCACGCCAAAGGTACAATTAATATCTGCCGTCGTGTGTAAGATAGTTGTTTTTTCAATGAAGATTTTACATTTGAGATTTATTGAAATATATATTTTTGTTACTA